AATTAAAAAACATAATTCCTGAAATGTTAGTTGATTTCCTTTTAGTTTAGCATCAAACCATGCATACTCAATTGAAATTCCAAAGTGGATCAGGAGTTGCAGGACTTCATAAAGAGGAGTGAATTCTAAAGTTCAAAGGTATAGCTGACTACTTTGCAAATTCATGGTATAATTTAATCACTGCAGTGTGTAAGTGTTCCACTGGAGGCTATGAAATAAGCAGCTTATTGACAATTTACCAATTATCTCCTCATATCAGAACTAGGCGATTACATTATGAGCGGCTTTAGGCAACTTCATTGGGATATAATAGATAAAGCAAGGAACGTAAATCTATAACACAAGGAATGATGAGATTAGAATCCATTAAGAATTGATCATTTGAAAGAGCTCATTTGTTTGCTTCAAGTACTCTTAAAAACCTTTATAAAAAGTGTTGTTCTTCTTTTTTCCCTTAAGGGGTAACTTACACCTATATGTTACACTTACAGAGGGAAATATTTTGTTGTGTTTTGAATAAGAATCTCTGGCAAAGGTGCCTGTTTAAAGTACTTGCTTCATTATACTGTGCTTTAGAGCATTAGAACTTTCTTCCTGTTTTTGATAAAGAGATGGCAAATAAGTTAAAACAACTAAATTAACTGGGCTGGAGGTTCTTCTGAGGCTCATTGAAAATGCAGCTTTTTCTGCACTTAGCTGCCTTCCTACTTCCATTTTTATTAGCTTGTTAAATAGTTCCTATTATTTCAAAACCTAGCTAGAGTTTTGAATTTTGTTTATGGCATCATAAGCCGTGTGTCAGAGATCTAATGAAATAGAGAGACACCTTACCAAGTTACCTATTTCAAGGAGGAAACAAAAATAGTAGCAATTGTGTCTCATGGCTGATGGCTGTAGCCACTCTGAAAGAGGGTCTGCAGCCTTGGTGGTAGCTCTATACTGGTGGCTGGAGAGGGACCAAAGATTTGGAGAAATGGAGCAGAAAATAAGAAAAGTTTCTCACTGTGGGTGTATGTAAGAATACCTCTATTGGTGTCACCTCTGCAGAGCAAGAACAAAACAAGAACAAAATATGCTTCAGTGTCTTCCATTCTAATAAAATTAAAGGTTATTCTCCTCACAAAATTCCAATGTAGTTTAATGTAATTTGTCATGAAGCATCTTTGGTTCCAAAAATATCTATCTTTTGTACAATCACAGCAAAAAAGGACTGAAAGACAAGATTAGAGATATGAATAGATAATGGCTCCCAACTGAAACAGAAATGGTGAAAACAGAAATGGTACTGAATAAATACCTTTCTTTAAACAAGTTATTTGAAATGTTACACAATTAAAATTCAGTTCAAGTTCAAGCAAGGTTAAATATGGAATAAAAATCACAAATGGTAGCTATCCCAACTAAAATTTTTTGCTGTTGAAATTTGCTCTTCACAGGAGAGAAAGAAGTTTACTAAAATTTCTTAATAACAAAAAAAAATAGACAAGCTTTTGATCCATATTACATTTTTTACTCTAAATTCAATTCTGCTGACTTCCAAAAGCAGCTATACGTTAATACAGAAAGACAGAGAAAAAGAGGAAAACCTTTACTAAAGAAATAATGTCAGCTGTAAAAGATCAACCTCCTGGAGTAACCAGTAAATGGAAGTCTAACTGAGAAGAAATGCATCAGCTAAAGGTATTCATGGCCCATCTTATGTGTCCGTTGAATCCCATGAGTTTCAAATGGTATGAAGTATGTTTTAGTATTATTAGGGGGGGTTCATGACTGAGCAAGCAAAATATAATATTTTCCAAATTTTGCAGAAATTACATTTGCAATCGCATGAATATAATAAGAGTTGCATTAAAACATTTTCTTCTAAGTTCTGAGAGATATAGAAGTGATTAACCTGTGGAAAGTGATAACTGCCTAATTTTTTTAAAATTGTTAGCTGAAAGATAATGGTGAAATGATTAATAGCTTCAGCGATGATTGATCCATCTCCTCCATACTAGAGATTGTTCCAAGAAAACTCATTAAAAATAATTCCAAAACAAAAACCTGTATAAACAAGAACAGAGTTGGGCACAATGTTCCTCTGTAGTAAGTTTAATGTAATTTAGAAAGATATTACACAGAAATATGGGACCTTGCACATATTTGACAGTTTTTAGAAAGCTTTCATTTTTTTATGATTTTTTTGCTTTGTTTGTTTTCTATCATGAGAAAAAGTTGAGAAGTGATCTTCTGGAAGAAGAGAGATTTGAGGAGAAAGACTGATGAAATAGTTTCATTTAAAACTATTTAAAGCTATTGAAAACTATTTCACTTCTTTAAAAAAAAAAAAAACAAAACACACTTGAAGCCAGCAAAACTATTACGATTCTGCTGAGTTCTCAGCCCCTCTTCTAAGATAAGATTTTCACCAAAGTTAGGCATTTTTCCAATTAGTTTTCCAAGGAATTAAAAAAAAAAAAAGATGATAAATTTATCTTCCTCCATTGACTGTTCCAGCTCTGGCAGAGTAGCACAGAGCCCAAATATGCAGTATATTACAGAACTGGGACTTCTGTCTACTGTAATTACAGATTAAAAGATTTCCTTCATCCAATTCTTTTCAAACATTTCCTTTATTCCAGTGCTTTTTATTAAATTGTTATTAGTTCAGTCTGTTTTTTCTTGTTTGCTAGCTTATTTTTAAAGGTAAATGTTATTGCTTTAGTCTAGATTACTATCAAACTCATTACATTTAAAGCAGGAAGCTGAATTCCAACAGGAGTCAGGGAAAAGGAGGAAAAAGACCTTGCTTAAGCAGCCATGCTTGCCAAGTCCATGTGCATTAGCTACTTTTGTAACTTTAACAAATTTCATCTGATCTTTCATTCTGCTGACCTGATTTAACAAGAAGGAAATTCAATAACAACCCTTAATACTGAAGCATTATTTCCCAAGAGGAATTTAACAACACTTCTACATCAAATAATAATGTGTGAATAATGGAATATATATACTGATGACAACATGAAAGCAAAAAAAGAACAAAAAACAACCCACACGAAAAAAAACTCCTTTAAAAATATATATATATATCTTTTAAATTTTTAGGGAAACTAATAATATCTTGAAGAGCTAATTTCAAGTTTGAAACTCCTATGGTCTTTGAGAAGAAACATTTCTAAGTATCTGAGAATAAATCATAGTCTTCCTCTCTCACTCAGTGTACCTTTGTTTCAAAAGAACATAAATATGAGTTTTGATAAACAATTTCCAAGGCGGAGGACATCTCCAGTTTGTACGTTCTGATCTAATTCAGCATATGTTATTAGTGCTTGATATTAGAACAGATTGTTCTGGGTAGTATTCAAAGTTCACAAATCAAGTAAATGTCAATGCATAACCTGGTGTTTATTTCAACAAATGAAAATGAACGTCTATGAGTTACTGTGAACAGTCTTGGGGCTAAAGTACTTGAAAGCAGTGGTTTTGAGAAGTTCTTTAGTATTTCAAATGTTGGAGGAGAGGCAAAAGCATTCTTCTGAGAGAATTTAACTCTGAAGACAAAGCTGGTTCCTGAACTGAATCTGTTCAGTTATTAACAGACACGCACACATGCATGCACACATACAGAGCCTTTAACTGTAAGAAATCACTACATTTCATAGGCTTTCCACTCTAAACCCAACACTTTATTGCAAAATCTTTTAATCATCACAGGCTTACTGGAAATATCTTAAGTAGAACACCAATATCAAACTGAAACTCAGAAAGAATTTCTGAAAGTTTTACATAGCTCTACTTTGAAAAATAAAAAAATGTTAAGATGACAGTGACCTATAGTATAATGCTATTGAAACCAGAGGACAGATGGGATTGTTGTGTGCAATGTTGTTTATCTATCAAAATCAGAAAAGAGAAGGAAAAAAAACCCCAAGCTTTTTACTACTTGAATTTTGTGCCACATATGGAAGAATATACAAGGAACTGTAACCACCATCCATGCATTTTGTTTTCTGTGGGCATGCTAAAAAAAAAAACAACAAAACCACCCTGATTAAAATTTGCAGAAACTATACCCTGTTATGAAGACAAATCATAGGTTTTCATGATTTACTGAAGGAAAAAATTACCAAATGATCTCACTAGCAAAAAGTGTTACTCTTTAAGTGCTGGGATGGAATTAAAGTGAAGAGAACCTGGCTAAATTTTTCTTGCTGAAATAGCATCTCATGGTTCTGTCAGAAGAAGGAAAAACTAAAAGAAAACAAAGCAAAACAAAAAAGTGGAGACAAAACAAAGATGAGTTAGGAGACGCTTGCCTTCTCTCTGCAATATCACTTCCATGATCAGATTAATTTCAGTACTTTCTAAAATTAAAGTTATTCAGGACTTGCAAAACAGGGCCTCATTTTTAAATACTTCCTACATTTTAAGGCTAAGTTTGCATCGCTCCATATTGCAAGATCATCTCAAGAACTTCTTCTATTTAAAAGTTGGCTTCTTGTCATGTTGTGTATCTTCTGAAGCATATGATGTTCTCTTTTACCATTTAAAACACCCTGGAGAACTGGTGTTTTACCATTTCCTCATTTCTAAAACACTTTGTGTTGGCTTTTCAGTCCTCTTGATAGCAAGATTAATAAAACACTGGAATTCTTGTAAATCAAATTGGGTGGAAAACATTTGAAGCAAAGGCCGCAGTATTTAATGTGTAAGTTTCAGCAATATTAATCCCCCAGTCTACATAAAGAACACTCTTAGAAGTTTCTAAATTGAAAGACTTTAATGGGGAAATAGTTGATCATCTCAGAGCATTCTTATTCTTTCTTAGGAAGTGTTTTGACAGCAGCTACCTAACATATTCATAATGTTCTCCCTATCTGGATAACCTTTATATTCCTAACCAGGTTGCTTTCTATGTCATAATGTTTTGTATCTGCAGGCTACAGTAGCAGGGATGTTGGACACTAGGGAGTGAATGCATTTCAACTTACATAGTGTCATCTCTGTTTACTTTCAGGATTTGGATACTATGTACAGTTCAGAGATGAGTTGCTGGAAACTGTTTGGCTGCATCAGCAACTAGAGACATAAAAAGCAAGTCGAGAAAAATAAAACTGTAGACTCCATCACTGACCACCTTGAAGAGCATCAGCAGTGGAGAACTATGACAATACAGCAAGTCCTATTACTTCTGCTGCTCTGGATGTGGCTGCTGCATCCCTGCCATACAGAAATGCTGTTCAGAAGGACTCCTGATCTCAGATCCAAAAGCTTTAGGGGACGTGCATCAGGGAATGATGGAAAAGCAATTCACCGTCAGAAACGAGGCTGGATGTGGAACCAGTTTTTCCTTTTAGAGGAATACACAGGATCTGATTATCAGTACGTAGGCAAGGTAGGTTTCTCATTAAGATTTCTGTACAATTGTCAAGTTTACTTATCTTTCTACAGAGCTCTATTTTCTGCGTTTTATTCTAATGCATAAGAAGCAGATTTCCAGGCTATATATATATTGTTTGTCCTGCTAGAATTACTAAAATAATATTGCTAGTTAAAATTATTCAGAAATATTTGAATGAAATAAATGAAGATATCTTTGACAAATTTGTTTGCTTTAGCACCTCGTTCTTACCAGCAGCCCACTCAGATTCTCTTCTGTATCAAAACATAACATTTTATGATTAATTATAAAATTCTTTTTCAACTCTTTCTATTTGAATATTTCACATTTCATACAAGATAATGCATTCTTTTTCTGCGCTTGTTTGAAGAATGCAACCTATTTTGAAGAAAAAATATTCTTCCTCTTTAACTCTCCCTGAATTCCAGTAAACTGCAGTCAGTAAAATTCATTGACAGCCATGTGGTAGAAATGAAGTGGTTGGGAAGTGAACTACAATAGAATTCGACAGAAATGCACAAATGACTGCATAGCGTACTAGATGCATACATAAAGGACACTGAAAGTGTCTTTTAAATTATTTTCAGTTGACATGTTTTGCTCTGCAATTTATTGTAAAATATATAACGTATAATGCCACAATAATATTCAAACAGGTACAAGAAATTAATTCAAAATGGTAATTTGCTTGAAAGTGGAAGTTAGCATCAGCCGTAATGGGTACCCGTTAGCACCAATTGTTGGTGATAAACACAGAAATTTCATTTTCTATAATCCAGATTTTAATTTTTTACATTGTTTTGAACTTGTAAAATACTGCAGAGAAATAGTGACTTGTTGAAAATCACAGAATCACAGAATAGCTGTGTTTGTAAGGCACCTCTGGAGATCATCTAGCCCAGCCTCCCTGCTCAAAGCAAGGTCAGCTAGAGCTTGCTCAGGACTATGTCCAGTCAAATTTTAAATATCTCCAAAGGTGGGGACTACACAATGTCTCTGGGCAACCTGTTCAAGTGTTCGACCACCTGCTCAGTAAAAAGTTTGTTCCTATATTTAAAGAGAATTTCCTGTATTTCAGTTTGTGTTTATTGCCTCTTGTCCTGTCACTGGGCACCACTGAAAAGAGACTGGGTCTGTCTCCCTCACTCCTTCCCATCAGGTGTTTATATATATTAATAAGGTCCCTGCTGAGCCTTCTCTTCTCCAGGCTGAACAGTCTAGGCTCTCTCAGCCTCTCCTCATATGAAAAATGCTCCAGTCCCTTAATCATCTTAGGGGCCTTTTTGCTGGACTCTCTCCAGTAGCTCCATGTCTGCCTTCTATGAGGGAGCCGAAAACTGGACACAGCGCTCCAGATGTGTCTCACCAGGGCAGAGTAGAGAGTAAGGATCATCTCTCTTTATCTCCTGGTGATGTTTTTCCTAATGGAGCCCAGGATGCTGTTGACCTTCTTTTTGCTGCAAGGGCACATTTCTGGCTCCTGGTGAGCTTGCTGTTCATGAGGACCCCAAGCTCTCTGCAAAACTGTTTTCCAGCCAGCTGGTCCCCAGCATGTACTGGTGCATGGGATTATTATATTATAAAATGTTTCTTGAAAGGATTAGAATGTTGGAGGTGTTGAGAAAGGAAATGCTAATTAAATTTTATCAAATTTAGATACTAAGTAAAAAATTAAGAGTGCAAGCTTATGAATGAGTAAATTGCCTCTTTGTTTCCACTTTTTATTTGTTGCTTTGAGTCTGTAACTTTACCACTAGCATTTGAATGATGCAGCCATTTCCAAAGCATGTTGAGAACATTGTAACTAGTCCCTATATTTATTTCATACACTTATAAAGTCTAAAGTCATGCCTCTCAAGTGTTCCAAAGTATCTAGGCCAGTTCTTCAGTCCAGGCCAGACTGATAGCTTAAGAAAATTGACCTCGCCTACAAAATAAGAAGTGTCACTGTATCAAAGCACTACGCTATTGTATTTGGAAGTGTATTGCTCCCAGAAGCTCCAGGAAATAAATAGATTTGCAGGACACCCTGAATTCCAAATTATTTAAGCTCCTTCAGAAATCTGCTGATTACTTTTTTTTATTGCATTATTTTTGAATATTTATGATCCCAAATCATAAAGCGTGAGTGGTGTCACTTAACAATTTTCTTCCAGGCATGATGAGTGAAGGAAGACTCTTTAGAGGGGAAGGGGTTAACATTTTTACAGGCTAACTCATCTGCATTAGAAAAAGAGAGAGAGATGTTGATAAACACAGAACTACTTTGGCTGAAAGAAAATAAGTGTTTGCAAATGCAAAGTGATAAGTAAAGATAAGTAAAATGGCAAATAAAGAGTACAGAACTGAGAAGAAACTTGAGGAGCACTTAGAACTGCACTTTCACCTTTTTTTTTCTCTGGTTAGAGAAAAAAGTTGCTAATTTGAGCAAGCAAATTTAAAATTAACCTGAGTATATAAAGTTGCCTTATAGTAATTTTCTAAGTTTGGGAAAGGTGTAGAAAACACATGCACGGGGAGAGTTTTACACAAAAGAAAAAAAAGGAAACAGAAATTGTATGTGGAGCTAAAAATTGATTGTTACTCTAATTAATGTTTTAACAGTCTGATAGTCCTAATTCTCAAATTATTAGAGAAAGAAATAATTAAGAATTAAAATTGTAGTCATAAACTTTACAGTAGCTATCTCTTTACCCTGCTGTTGCACTCACCTTTCCAAAGGCCATCTGGGTTGTATAGTCAAAATGTTTCTGGATGTTTTCTTTTATCTGACTTTATCCAAAGCGAAAATTATTTGGATAGGTGCGTGACATAAAATGTCACCTTCCTGTTAGTTTCTCTGCAACATGTTTGGAGATGGTGTTTGGAAATTATGTGAGACAGTAAGAGCACAAGTTAGAACTCAATGATGAGTGGTCAATGACTAGGAGAGAATGTTTGTCATGGGGAGGTTTCAGTCAAAAATAAGTACTAAGTGTAATTTTTAAAATTGACAATAATAGTTACAGGACAAACATGCCAGTGAAATGATCAGCAGAAATTCCAAAACTCAGGGACCAGATTCATCTAGATTTGTGATTTACATCTGCTTGCTTTCTGAGCTCATGATTGATATATTTTTTCTTGTTTCTTATCCTGCATCTATATATCTGTCAAGGGAGCTTGAAAACTGTTGAATATCACATTACTCTTGAATCCAGTGCCTACCATTCACAATGCAATTTATGCATTCATTTCTTCACTTTTTAAGTTAGCTTGAGAACGTTCTTCTAGAATAATATGACAGAAATGAGGTTCAATGAATGAATGGGATATGTAATCCAGTAACAGCTGAAGAGTTCCTTGTTTAAGTCAACCATGTTTGTGAAATGGTGGCAAATTACATATTGACTGATTATGGACATTCACTGGTTGCTTCAGGTCAGTATTTATTATTATTATTATAAGAAAGGAAGATGGTCATCCTTTCCTTCATGTAATACACAGCATCCTGAGGGTAGAAATCTAAACTACATAAGTGAATTTTTTATATGCAGAACGTCAAATAGTAATTACATCAGTAGTTCCTAGTAAAGGCTGAAGCCATAAAAGAGTTGTGTGGGAAACCAGACCCATATATGTATTACACAATTTATCTTTGAGCTATCTTTGCAAAAATACACCAGGAGACAGTAATTCTGAGAAAAGGTACTTTTCCCAATTTCAGAGAAACATTGCAGGGATGTTCAAAAAGAATCTTAAACCTCATATCAGAAAAGACATTTTATTCATATTTGGGGTTAGAGTTTATGGTTAATACTTCCTTTATGTCTTTTTCTGTGCAGAAAGTCTACATATGCTCTATTATTCTTTCTTAACATACTGAAAGCTGATTCATAATTTTTATTTCTTTTTGTTAGTATATAGCTGCATTAAGATTTAACTGCAGGGTTGGATTTAATTTTGTTTTATCACATTTGTACACAGGAAATGTATATGAATAATGAATGTTAGTATATAGTTTCAAGGCCCATTTATTATTTTTCAAATAAAGTGGTGCAATTACGAAGTATTATGCACTTTCAAACTTGTTCTGAAAATCTTCAATTTATTTTGAATGTATCCAGAAAAAAAATATTTCTTTTAAATCTAAAAATTATACTCTAATAGCTGTTACCTAAAGGAAGCACTACTGTGTACCAACAGTGTTGTAATCCATAGTCATTCAAAAATAAATTTACAAATAAATTCTTCATTCACATTAAAAATTCCTTCCTTGTTATTTCACCAGATCTTGCCATTTGTTTCATTCTTGCAGATATTTTTCCCACTTTGCTTTCTGACATAGTGACCTTTTCCGGCAATTTTTATCACAGTATTTTTATTGCATAAAGGATCGACTGACATGAATGAGAGTGAAGTTCTTAGTTACACTGCAGTGTTTTTTAGTATCTCTAAAGATAATTTATCATACATTTGCAGCTAAATTTATATATAATTTTGTGTGTGCTGTATTAGAACTGTGACCAGAAAGGATTATCCTGGCACTATTCATAATTGCATGCTTCTAAGTGCATGCATTGGTGGTGTAAAGAGCAGAACATGTCAACCTCACTTAGTTCCTTTTAGTTCGAGAACTCCAACACAGACAGAATTCTGAGGAAAGGACTTGGAGTATTATCAATATATGCATACATGACACAGTTTCAAGAACAACAGTACTGGTTTGTAGCCTACCTTTTCCCTTTAGTAACTATCTGCGTCTGTTGACACTGTGGATGATATACCACAGAACTGGTACTTGAAGGAGGGTCCCACATCCTTAACTCAATAAAGCCTTAAAGACAGCAATCCCCGAAATGGCATTGCTTTCAGACACCGCAGCGAGAGTGTAGTGTGTAACAAAAGTGTGAATGGAGCCAGGACAGCTTACCACCCAGTCATAAAGATGTAAAGTAAGGAAGCCTCAAATGTTGCTTTTACTCTAGTTAAGTGTATATGTATTGGAATTAAAT